TGTCAGGTTGTTTGGTCAGATTGTTGTTGTTTTTTTAAAGATTATTTTAAAGTGTTGCTTTCAGTGGAAAAAAAATAAATAAGAAAATGTACTAAAATGTGAAACCACTGAAAAAAAAATGTATGGGAAATCAGGAAAGTACTTTCACTAAAATGTCTGAAGTTGCTGGTCAGTGAAACAGACATTTGACAGTTGCCTGTTTTCTAAGTAAATTTAATTTATGGAGAATTTTTCAATAATAATCATAATAATAATATAATTAAAACATTTCACAAAAAGAGAAAGAGGGTCCGTTATATTTTTAAGTTATAATATGAAATCCAAAACAGCAACACGTATCTTGATAACATCTTGCGATACTATGTAGCATTCTCATTATAATCCCATTTGAGCTGATTCAGCATTTATCGCGCTCTCATGAATGTTCCCTTTCAAGTTGCTCTCGTGACATGCGCTAATCCACCCGCATAAAATTACCATCGCTGATTTATGTTTTTGCAACAAATGCCAGGTTGAACCTCTCCTCTCAACCTAAAGGAGGTCGCATGCATCATTTCTACACGGAATCTCTCACTGTGTGAATTGTCTGACCTCAGCACCAGTTTCCCATGCTGCCTTAGTCCATCTGAGCCAGGACTAGAAGTCAATGTTGTACAAATGTTTTGTTGCTACTCTATGAAATTACACACTTTGCAGATGAGACTTTAATAACTGGGAATATTATTCTTTTTTTTTTAAATTTTTTTATTTAACTTCTAAGTATTACAGACTTTTCCAGGGAAGTGCAAATGTTGGCAAATGTGACATATCTTTAAAATTTGAAGTGACTGTCATAGATAGCTTGTCACTTGGATTTGTCTTAGCGTTGCTGGGACAGCTGACTGTGATGAGAGGGTGCACTGTCAGAAGGTGAAGTGCTAGACACTCACGGCTCGCCTGCGGCTAATAGCATTAGGTCGTGAGGGGAAAAGGTCACTGACAATCTGAAGCAGCAAACAAAGAGGTGATTAATTAAAAAGGAGTACAACTATAGACAGGAACTGCTTTGTGTAACATGTCACTTTCCATCGATTCTTTGCGTTTTATTGACAAATGTCCCAAATCTCTTTATAGTGTAAATATCTCAGGCCAGTCCCAAGAGAGTTAAAATGTTGTGATTTGAAAATCTGGCTTAAAGTTTATGTTCGCTTTAAAAAAAACAACAAAAAAAAACATATATGGGTTACAAAGTTAGCCTAATTTAAAAATTAAGGCTTAAAAAATGTGATATTACTTGATATTGATTTTAACTAAAACTCATAAATGATATGATTTTAGCTTCTATAAAAAACAGAAGCTTTCGATTCTCGCCCATTTTAACAGTGCAAGAAAAAAAACTAAATTATTTGGAGATGAAGTCACAACATCTCAGAAAAATATGTCATTGCTGAAAACCAGGATAATAATTCTGATTAAGATCAACCTAAGAATTGAAAACATAATTTAAAAGTTGTTGTGATGACGACTGCGATTCAACGTGTTGTGCAGCTTTTGTGCAAAAACATTGGCTGATAACTGGAATTGGACAATTCTGAGCTTGAACCCAAAGAATTTCTGGCATAACTTCGTCAACTCTCAGTGTTCATGGATCGGGTCAAAGACCTGATAAGACGGAGACATCAGCAACACTTGAATTGCTGAGAAACAACTTAAGTGGTAGACCAATGCATTTCTCAGCATTTTAAGTGTTACTACAGTCTGCTTCACCATAATAATTATGAGCATGAGTTGAAAAACTGAATATTTTTGATCAATGAATGTACCAGTCATTTAGAAGGGATTTTCAGAGGAAACTTTTTTTTTTTTTTCCCACAAAGACATGTCAGATATTGACCATTGAGTGGACTTCAGTAAATACCTGAAAAGCTTAACATATTGCAGCAAAGTTGCTCTGTTTAGGGGTTTTGAACAATCAACCACTTACAGGACATCCCGGATTTGGAAACTTCAGGATTAAGGAAGGGGTTCACATTTTCCAGGGAACAGACGCCGAGGCTGATGTTCACAGTTACTAATGCTAACCTTGCTAATCATGCTGATTGATAAGATGCTTGAAAAAGCTTAAAATGTCAGCTTCAAATAATTTTAAGTATTTGAACTTTGTTTAACTCATCTGCTTCTAATATAAAATTATTAATCATCACCCACAGCATCCTATATTTCTGAGCACTTATAATACAAAGAAATCAGATTAAGATGAAACCAGTGTTGGCAGGTCAAAAGCTTTGTAAAAACCAGGAAACAGTTATGGGAAACAAATCTTTGATCATTGAATTTCTTATGCATTACTACTAAATTTTGATCAAATAATATGCCATATCAGGTCATTAAAATTTTGGATTTTGTTTTTTTTTTTTTTCTGTTATTAATCATTCAGATTATTCATGGCAAGCACAAAGTTATCACACGTGTCCATAAATGCCGACATAATCTCCAAAGAGATTGCCTGTGCTTTCCCCCTCTGTATCATTATATAATGGTCATACATCTTTGTCTGATCCTAACTGCATAGATTTTGCTCATCCCTTCATATCCTGGGATGCAATGCGCTCACAGAAATAAACAAACTTGAGCAAAACCGCAAGGTCAAATTCGTGTTTCAGCAACATCTTAGCTTTCAGGAGCGGATCTGTCGGAGGGGGACCTGAATGTTTTATATCGGGTTAAAGTTCTCTGCCTTGCTGCAACGGAGGAGATCGAGCTGCAAAGTCTGAAGTTCAACATGAGGTGTGGTTTTAAACAAAGCCGCGTCAGGCACAAGAGCAAGCAGCATAGTTATAGAAAATTATATACACAGGGCTAAAACAGACAATAATGCAATACTGCTACGGCTGCATTGGTCTTGTAGCGAATACAGTGAACGTGACTAAAAAAAAGAAAAATAAGTCAGGTTAAACAACTGTAATTTAGAGAGAGGCTAACACAGACCTTTTAACAAGGTGACTTTTTGCATGTGAAAAGACAGCATGCTATATTGTCAGTGACGAGCCCCCGTACCCCCCCCCCCCCACCCCCCCTTAACTCGTCAACCAACGGTTGCTTCACTTTTAGCCCAGCTTTACTTACTATCGTCTCTCGGACGCGGTTGTGGAAAAGTTGCTCCCTAATCGACACTTCGTCCGTTTCCATCCTCTAAAAACCATGCCACTGCCCTGAGCCCTGAAGCCGCTGAGAGGGCCAGTTTGATTAAAAATGATGAACCGGTTGCATCGTAGCAAGTCAGCAACGGATGTATCAGTTGGTTAGAAGGGCTGAGTTTTAAAAATCGGATACAACTACCCTGATCAAAACCGGGCGGGGCGGGGACATTGGGGCGGGGCTTAGCACCAGAATGGATCCCATTGATTGGTCGAGGCAGCTGCCAATCAGAGCTAAACTTAAAGAGGTTATTTGGCTTACAGATGTTCTGTGCATTTTTCCTAAGTAGCAAAAAAGAAAAAAAAAGAGCACATATCTAGTAGCAAGACGATATTTGAATTGAAAAGAACTAATTTATGTATCATAATTATTTACACCATAATAGAGGAAATCTGTTTAACATTTGTTATTTTTTGTGTTTGAAATTTTGCACACCCCAAATGACATTTTTATTGTTAACAAAAAACCCATAAACTTTAAAGCATCTTCTTAATTACATTCATCCATACATACATTTTCTTATAAGACTAGGATAATGAGTAACTTTATGAAGAAGGCTGCCTCAGTTCTGGGAGTTGTTCTGGAGTTTCTAGAGCTGATTGTGCTATAAAGAAATCTCTGAAATGAAAAACATCATAAAGAACCATATGCATCTTCTTTGCAACACAGCAATCTAGCAATAGAGAGTCACCAGTGATACACATCTTCAAATCTAATTAAGGACAGGCTGCTGTTGCAAAAGAACCTTGAATAATAAGGATTATTAAACCATAAAATTTTATATTGGGATCAATGAAATATTATTGAATTAAATTAAACTGAACCAAATTGAACAAATGTGCTTGATGTGTGTCGGACGTCGGAACTCAGATCAAGAAATTAAGCCTCCCCCTCAAGGTTGCAACCCAGAAAATGAAAAGCAGAGGGTTAATCAATTGTTGTGATGCTACTGCTAAAAAAATATATACACTTATAACAACATGTGTTTTTCATGTTTCAATTCAAACTCTAAAATGAATATGATTTCAAATAAATATTGTGCAGCATGGACGCCACAGATTTAATTGCTCCGATGAGCTTCTTTCAATACATTCCGTATGCATGGGAGTCGACTCAAATACTAGATATTGGGTGGAAGGTAAGATGAGGCTTGTTGGAGAGCTTTGGAATTCCCAGTCTGAATTTGGACCTCAGGGACATTTCTCAGAAACTCTGACTTCAAAGTATACATAAAAAACCACCTAGATAATTGTTAGTGTAAATAAAACAAAGGAACAATGCAGCAGAAAACCTCTGCTTTTCAAAACACCAGGGCTTTACAATCGAAGCAACATGCATAATTATTAAAAAAAAATAAATTATATTGCTAACATTCTTGATTGATGTAGAATGTTTTGCATTTTATTATTGCTGGTTAATCAGCTGCATCTTTGACAAGTGTTTCTCATTTTTACCACTGGAAAACATTTGAAACTATTTTTGAATGTACTGAATTGTCTCAGTCAATATTTTAGCAGCCTATTTTTCCTTCAAGGCTTCTAATAAATTAAAAATATTCAAAGCTTATAACATTAGCATCCTGTTTTCAAAAATCAAGCACTTTGTTTTTATTCCGTCAGTCATTATGACGTTCTGTATCTGGGCTGCTGTGTAATCTTATTGTCATGATCCAAAGTCCAACTGTTGCAACAACGTGCTGCAACTTCAACAGCGGAAACCACTGAAAAGGATTTCTCAGGATAAGGATTTTTTAAACTACGGACTACGTAAGTAAAACATCCTTTATGACACAAAGCCAAGTACTAAATACGTGAAAGGAACAGATGGGCTTGGTGAATAGAGAAAGTTGGTTGAAATCTTTTTTCTTTTTTTTTTCAGTCTACTTAGCGAGGTCATATGATTCTTTTTCAATGGCATTAATTTCTGGGGATGTCAAAGTAAATGACTTGATGATTATGAGCAAAAATAAACCCCATTTATATAACATATTAATCCAAGTAGGGACATGAATCACAGAGATTAAAAATCACTCTGACTTTTCTGCCAGAAATGACTGGAACAGCTGGCAGATAAGATCAGGAAATCACGGCATGTGGCATCATGTGAGTTTCGGAATAGCTCACATGGGTTAGTCCTTCCCCCCCAAAAAAACTCAGTCCTTCTTAATAACAATCTTTAAAACACTCTCAAATGTGAAAGCAGACATAATACTGTCACTCCATTGCAGGAACTAAACAAGGATGACAGCTCACAAGAGCAGGAACTGATCCACTGCTACAACAGCATGGTGAAGAGAGTCCTAGTAGCCTACGCCCTGTGGGCGATGGGTGGGCCTTTGGGTCTTCACCATCTCTACTTAGGAAGAGACAGCCATGCTCTGCTGTGGATGCTAACTCTGGGAGGTTTTGGCTTTGGCTGGGCAAGAGAGTTCATACGTATTCCAGCTTACGTCAGCGAGGCTAATCGAGATACAGAAAAAGAAAGATGGCCGCGCAAAGAAGGACTCCCACCTGCCAGCCCCGTCAGATTTGCTGGGCAGGTGTGTGTTGGGATCTACTTTGGCATGGTGGCTCTCATTGGACTAAACTCCCTCAGTTTCTTCTACTTGATCGTTCTGCCCCTAAGCGTGGGCGCAGGGGTTCACTTGGTGTCCAATGTTGGTCAACAGACTGCCGATCTCCAAAAAACCCTCACTGCCTGTCTTGTGACATCACCGATATTCTACGGCAGCTCTCTCTCACCTCTTCCTATAAGCTTGGCTGCTAGCATCACTGCTGCACAGCACCGCAGGTTCAAACCTCCGAAAGCCCCTGGCAGCCAGCAGAAACTAGGTGAGCTCCTTTTCGTACTCAAAGATCCCTTACTTGAATTTATAAAACTCAGCTGAAACAACGTTTTCCTCCACGTTTCGTTCAGGTCCACGGCTTTACAGGATTGGTCTAGCTTGGCTTGCCTTCTCCGCTCCACTGGGTTATTGTTTTTTTTACAACACTACGGCCACACTGTATTACCTGTCTGACTCAATAGCTGCACTGCTGGATATTTTCTGGTTCCTGCCTTGGCTCAGAAGTGTGCTGGAATACTTTCTTTTAATGCCGTACCGCATCCTGTGTGCACTGACTGGAGGGGGATACCACGAAGAGGCTTGGAGGAAGGTGCTGGAAATACTGCTGAAAGAGTACACACACAGAGAAAAAGAGGCGCTAAAGGTGAGCAGGCTATGAACGATGAGTTAATACGTCCATGCCCGGTTGACGTTCTCTTTGTGTTTGAATGTTTGTACTCTAGGTGTTGTCATTGGAGACAGAGGCGTCTCTGGAGGAAATAACTCGAAGCTACAGGGAGCTGGCCAAGACATGGCATCCAGACCACAACCCTAACAACGATGCTGAGAAAATGTTCATGAAGGTCCAGGAAGCTTATGAGGTCTTGATGCGATGGCACAAACCCCAGAGATTCAAATAGTAGTGCTATTTTTCTTACAGACTGGCAATCATTGAGTTTCATTTAAAAAAAAAAAGAACTGTTTATGGGTACGTGACAAATCATTTGTACAGAGATGTATGTCTTGTTTATTGAGCATCTCTCATTTGCAGTTCCTACAATAAATCTTCAGTTGGTTTCAGATACATTTTGCAGGGTTTGCAGGACATGTTATGTTGGTATGCATTTCGAGTTGAGTGCTCCTTGTTTGTTTGTTTGGAAGATACATCATCATCACCATCATCAATCCTTGTGGACTGATGGAACAAGAAAAGTGTCTAAAATATCAATGTCCACTGTTGCATTTGCTGCCATCCAGGGAAATTGACCTGTCTCTACATCGTCCATGCGTTTGGAAATTTGGTTGTTTTTGTTTTTATTAGGCAGGCAGCTTCACATGTTCCACTGGATTGGGATGGCACCAAACACCATTCTGCCTTCATCTTCATGTTGTACATGCAGATTCACATTTGGGCCTTTTTCTGCATGTAAATCCCATTTCATCCTCATTATTTCTTTCAGTTCTGTGTTCTGAAAGGAAGCGTGCTTTGAAATCTACCTTGATGGGTTTTTTTTTATTATTATTTAATTTTTAGAACTTTCCGATTTGGTAAGATTTAGGCTGTAGGTAAAATTAAATGAGAAAACTCAACCCTTTTTTCCACACCTTGTGTTCTTTTGCCTTTCCTCCTACACCCAAAACCATGCATGTTATGTTAATTGCAGGTTCTAAATTGAACTAAGGTATGAATGCATGTATGAATGGCTGTTTCTGACACCTGTCTCTATTATGGCCCTGAAAAGGACTTGTCACTCGTAAACGTTGTAGTCTGTATGTCTACTATTGCCCAGCAGACATAGAAACCAGCTGCCCTGTGACACTGAACCTAACATAAAGCAATTATAGACAATAAATGGATGGATACATTTTTCATCTGGCATGATCTCTTGATAGAATTATGTTTCCTGTCAGTCAGAGAGATGCAACACCTAGTATGGCCTCCTATCATTCTCTTTTAACTTCACACTCATTTGAAGACTTATATACTTGTGCAGGTATTGGTTTCAGAAGTGCAAAAGATAAGATAATTCTTTAATTCTATTGTTTCGCTGGGTGATTTAAAAATGTTTTCTCTATTAGATTTTAAAAGAGTATAGAGCAGAAATGTCAGATCAATTATTTGGAGCTATGTTTGTACAAAGCCATGCTGTTTAAATGTATTTTTGTAATTAATATTTCTCTCAAAACCTGAACATCATCCAATTCATAACAGAATTGTACTATGCCTAATGCAATAGAATTTTACACCTGTTTGATTGCGCCAAAAACAACAATTTGCTGCCATCTTGTGGTACAAATGTAATATTAAAATAAACAACGTCATTACTAATTTTTACCGGCTGTCATAATCATGTATCAGCAGGTACTATATATGTTTAATTATAAGTGTTTATAATTATCAAGACAAGTGCAAATAATAAAAATAATAATACACATTTCGGGCTTTTACGTAAAACTTGTTGCTGGTTTGTTAGACTGATGCTGCTCGAGAACACACATTCTCGCTGGGATTGTGTAATTTCTACGAGCCCATGTTGTTATGAAACTATAAACGTCAACATATTGTTTGTGTCTTATGTGTGTATCGATGCATTCGACAATCACTGGATCAACAGCTCTGTCTGTATCCCAGCATGGGCCCGGAAGTTGTTTGGGTTTCAGGTGAAAAAAAAAAGACGAAAAAAAGAAAGAAGGGAAGACAGAAAGAGGGAAAAAAAGATCCCAGGGATGCTGCCGTCGCTGGGGAAAACAAACAACCAGGCAGACAATTAAGGAAGGAGCGCACCGATCGACCTGCAGGTAAGGACGAGGACTCCGCCGCCCATCCGTCGCCGCTTGATCGGCGTGTTTTTGAGTAGTTGCTGCGGGTGAATGCCATTTGTCGTGTGGTCGGGTGCCATAGCAACGGCTCGTGAGAAACATATAGCCCAGGTCGGTTTGACGCGCTCGGTGTTGGATGACAGCTGCGTTCATGCGGACAATTCGCTCAGTCGCAACTCCTGCAACACACTGCCGCCGCCGCCGCGTCTCGCCGCGTCTCGCCGCTGTCTGGAGCCGTGCGTGAGCTGATCGGACCAGAAATCCTCCGAGAAGGCTAAAACAAGTAGCCGCGGATGCTCTGAGAGAGAGAGAGAAAGAGAGAGAGAGAGAGAGAGGAAGAGAGAGACAGAGAGAGTGAGGCATGACACTTATCTGGAAACATATATGATCCAATGCACACTCGACAATCTGAAGGCCAGAAAGGATTGTAAGGCAAGGGTTGGTGCCGATGCGCGTCCCCTTGTCTTTATTTATCTCTGTTATTTTATTTTAATCGCCGTGCCCCGGTGCGTCTCCCGACTGCATCAGTGCCTGTTGCTTCCCATGCGGGGCCAATGCCAGGATATTAATTCTCCCTGAGATGTGCTGTCTCCGCCTCCCCCTCTCTCCAAAGTCAATGTCCACTGTTGTCATCCATTTGAGCGAGAGGTGCTGCCGCCTTGTACATCTTGGTCTGTTTCCGTTTCCTAACGTGAAAGCTCCGTCTGCTCCCAGTGAACATAAACATGTTGGCGGCTATGTCTAAAGACAACGTAAGTCAGCAAGAAAGTGTCTGGTCTCGGTGTATCTATCTGTGTCACTTGGTTATTGGATAACTGTTTTATGTAACGTGCGCTATATGCCCCTTATTGTTAATTATTTGGCAATTATGCATGAAGGAGGTGGACAGAGTAGGAATAAATGAGAAATGGGCGAAAGACCTGTTTAACCTTAACTAACAAAAATCTGAAAATCAGAATAAATATAATATAATATAATATAATATAATATAATATAATATAATATACAAAATATTATATGATTGTTTCTATGTTAAAATATGAGTCCTTTACAGTCTACTCTAGTTTAGCTCTGGCTGGTTCAGATGTCCAGGTGTTTAGGTGACCATTTTCATAATTTCTTTGATATTTATTTAACTCTACAAAAACTTTAAAGCTCCATGATTATTTATAAGACACAAAATGAACTTCAAGTGCATGTTAGAACTCTTTACTAAAAAAAAAAAAAAAAAAAAAAGTCTGGCAATCTCACGCCTGAGTTGTTATGGGAAGAAAATTAAATAATTTAGAGTCAGATGGTCTATTGAAAACTTCAGAGGGTAACAAACCAGTCTGTGACCAATGTTAGCTGTTTAGTGCAATGTTTAATCTTAATAAATAGTTTCATTTAAGATCAAAATATTAAAATAGAGAGGAAATAAAAACAAAAATCTTTCAAAAACATGCTCTGACATTACTCACCTTGGACTGTTAACAAAAATGTCCCGGCTCCCTCCATGTTAAACTCTAAAAAAGAAGGTTGGTTCACATATAAAAAAAAAAGAAGGTTGGTTCACATATAATTAATGATTTTATATAGTGATATATAAAATCATTAATTAATTAAAAATACATAAAAATAAAAGATTTGGAAAAAGTTTCTTGTGCTCCACTGAAAAGTGGACATTTTAGATAACCTTTAAGTATCTAATAACAGTTAGGACTAAAGAGAAAACAAGGATTTGTTCTTAATAAGGAATTTGCAATTGGAAAATGATGTGTAAAGATCCAAACTGTTTTGCTTTTCAAGTTGCACTGCTGGAAAAAGATATCGGTCCAGATAGCTTCTGTTCTGGTTTCTATGTCACAACTAAATGTTTCAGATCATAGATAACCTCAGTACATGGAAAAAGTGGTTTTCACATGATGATTCCATTTAGTAATAAAGTTATCCAAGCCAACCCTTTGTAAAGAAGAATTTCCTCCTCTTGTTAAATCAAGACTTAACTGTCACAAACTCCCTATTTAAAAAAAAAAAAAAAAAAAAGATGGGTTAAAGCTCCTTATTTAAACCCAGTTCTCGTTACTGTCTGGCATTTATTATCAGGAGATCAAGTAGAACAACTGACATCATGAAATAAGTGAGAAGCTCTTTAACGTATCTCACTCTGATCTAAAGATTTTCAAGAACAGATCAGTAGCAATATCGCTAAGATCAATCAGTCTGCCAACAAAACAGTCCAAAATTCTGACAGTCTTTGGATACTTTGCTGCCCACAGCACCAAGACAACTTGTCATATCTGATGGAAACATCAATTATGTTCTCAACCTGAATATACTGAAGGAGTAAATCTGACCATTAGAAATGGAAGATATGGACTTTAAAAATGTTATCACAATAATTTGTGGCACTTATTGCAATAATTATAAAAGTAATGATAAAAAAATGCATCAGTATAGTCTTTATTACCATCCACACAAAATGGTGCAAATGCACCACTAATCGTTCATTTAAAAAAAAAATGTATTTATGTGGTGCTTTTATAAAACCAACATTGGAAATAAAGATCTTTCAAATAGCAAAAGTAAGAATCCCAACCAAACCGATAGTTTTCAGGTTATGCAAACATCATGAATTCCTGAAATAACTGAAATGATAACTTTTGTTTTTCATGATAGCAATAAATGGTATAATAATTTCCCATCCCAGCCAACCATTAGTTTGTGACCGTGAATAAAACTTAATTCCCATTTATCCATCCATCCATGATTGATTTTTTATTTTTTTTTTTCGTTTTAGTACACTCATTGAAAAACATCTTTCAGCAAACATCATGTTTAACTGTCATTAAGACAAAAAAAAAAAAAAAAAAAAAAAACTGGTAAAAATTTTTACATTTTTAAGTTTAAAGTAGCTTATTTGAACAGACTTCTTAAAATATGTTATCAGCTAGCTAATGTGTAACCTCATGTTGAAAATAGTCTTCATTTGCCCTGCAACCCCCTAAACCTTTTTTTTTTTTGTGTGTTGGTTTCAACTCCTCCTTTGACACTGTTTACCAGACGATTTGTATAAATGTCAGGCCTTTCATTATCATTTGCTAGACAGAGGAGGTTCACCAGAATACAGAAACAGTCAGATATAACTCAGGTTCAAAAAAAAAACCCCAAAAAAAGGTAGCGTTTTTTGAAGTGAATTTGATATTCGACAATCAGTGTTATACTGAATACAGTGTTCTGCATTTGCATCCACCAACTGATTAGTATATTTTTTTATTAACTATAGCTAAGGTATTTATTTTTAATACTTTATAAAATATATTTTGTTTCATTTTTAAAAAAAGAAAATATCATGAATTGAAACGTGTGTTTTATTGTTACAGGCATCTGGTGAGAGAATGAATGCTGATGAATGTAATGGACGCTCATATTCACAAGGTAAATCTAAACATTTATATATGCGTGTGTGTCTTTTGTACTGAAGAAAGTTTAAAACTCTTTTAAATTTTCTTAAAATTTGATGCTAAGGACTAGATTTTTGAATTTGTTCAGCAATAATTCTCAAGCATTTTGGAGAGTTTTTCCAAAATCTTTCTCTTTTTTTTGGGCTTTTGATCCTTTTTTTAAAGTTTTCTCTTTAATTCTTGTACATTGTTGGACAATTTAGCCAAAAAAAAAAAAAAAAAAAAAAGGTTTGGGGACAAAAGGGGGAAAAGTAATTAACCATGGTATCTGGATTCAAGAAATTAACAAGATATGAACTTGACCTGTTTGCTGAAGTGCCTTTAACGTTTGTGGGGAATTAATGCCAAATAAATAAACTAAATTAAACAAATCTACTGCTGGTGAACAGTAACAGAAAGTCAAATCTTTAAGAAGTGAGAGAGGATCCAGCAAATGCCTAACCTAAAGGATGGATCATCAGACAAACATTTAAGTTGACAGTATTATAAGAATCATCTTGCTGCTAAAATGCAATCAAATATAAATAGTTTATTAGTAAATGCATTTGTTATATTTAGAGGCTTTCCTTGAGGAGATGATTAGTTTGGGGATTTAGCATCCACAGATAAAAATCACAAAGTTCTTTTCAAATACATAAAATAAAACATGATTAAAAAGTCCAAAAACTCATTCAGTTATACAAATAATTTAGACGAAAGATAACATGTATTTGAAAAAGATTTTTGAACAAAAATGGCTGCTTTTTGTAATGACTCAAGAATCTGAAGACAGTCTAAAAACAAAGGAAGATCATTCAACAGTTTAGGTCCAATATTCTGAAAGAAGTGATCCTAACAACTTTTCCATCTAGACTAGACAGGAGAGATGCGAGTTCTTCTGTTTTGGTCCAGTTAACGGTTCTGCTGCAGAGGTTTTTGGACCAGAGTACTGCTTTCTTGATACATCCAGAAAGGCTGTTGCAGTAGTCAGGACGAGCGAAAACATATGCATGAATGATCATCTCAGTTCAGTGTGTTGATAATACCAACCTTCTCAATTTGGAGATATTTTAAATGATTAAATCTCTTTGGGACGAGTTATTCTGAGCAACCTTCAAGAGACATTGACTGAAAGCAACACCTAAATTCTTCAAGTTTGGCTTAACAGCATAATCTGTTCAAGGTTCAGAGAATCCTTGCTCTTCAGGACAATGATCAGCAGAGACATGCTTTCTTTTCAGAATTCAAATAAAGCAAGTTTTTTTGTTATTTTTTTTTTTACCAATTTGTAATTTTGAATAAGATGTACGGCTGAATATCATCTTAGTAAAAATTACGTAAAAAAAAAAATAACAAAAAAACTTGC